AGAAAATGAACCATGTTTTATTCTTTTTTGTGTACTGACACCTCAGGCAGGTTTGCTTTCTTGTGTAGATGAATGAAAATAGCCAACATATTTCTTATACTACAGAGGACTGCTGTTACATTTTGCCTTCATTTGACATCTCCTTCCAGCATGAAATTAATATTTGTTTTGATATTATTACCTGGTCATTTTATTCAGTGGTTGTTATGATTGATACATGTGTCAACTTGAGAAGTTTAGAAGTTTAACTAAAGGATCCAGTGGAGAGTCAAGGGCCTTACTTTGTAAATCTCTTTGCCTGTTCAAGGGAAGGGCACAAAGTTGACCTGAGTGCTACACCCACCCTGGGGGGATGGTAGCCTGCTTACAGTATAAGGGAGGAAAAGAGGCTTCCTCATCCTGCCTTTTGCTCTCGTTACTATACTATCTTCTGCTGCCTTGAAGTGTTGCTCCTATGCCATGCCACCCTGCCTTGGGGCCAGCTGACTGTGGACTGACCTCCAAAACCTGTGCACTGAATAAATCTTTCCTTCCTTAGTTTTAGGTATCAGGTATTTTGTCTCAGCAATGAGAGTAAAGTAACCAAAACAATGGTTTTAACATTTTTTCTTATTGTTTCTTTAACTGAATGTTTTATATTATTTTATTACAGGTGTTTAGAATTTTGACTCCTGCTAAAAATGCACATAAGACAACATGTAATGTTTTATTTACAGTGGCAAAGTCCTCAAAACTTCTTTCAGCCATAGAATGTTTTTCAACTCTGGACAAAAAGCTACTTAAAAGTGTTACAAATACATTTGAAGTCTTTTCATATTTTCTAGTTTTTCTTCCTTTTCCATTCTTGTCATTTGAAGTTCATATTTAGTAAACTTCAAATTTTAAATATATAAAACATGGGAATTTACTTACTTGTGAATCCATGTTATCATTACTCAGAGAAAATATAACTTTGGTACAAACCTAGAAAAAGAGACTATTCCTTTCCTGTCAAGGTATTCATTCAGAGATTAAAAAAAAACTATTCTAATATTGCTTGTTAGTTTTGTCTACTCTTAAATTTCATATTCTAATATGAAATATAAAAATATAATAGATACTTTCATTTAGTTTTTTGTTTATACTATGTATATGAGATTTATCGTTTTTACCTGTATATCAGTGATTCACTCATTTTTTGTTTTATTGTTTTTACAACTTATTTATTTTATTATTTTTATTGTTTAATACTAAGTACATTTATTAGAAAAGAAGAGTTATGAAATATCCTCATGTTTCCATAAGAAATTAGAAATAAAAGAATAAAACAACAAATAGAAAATAATAAAGATCAGAAAATAATTCCTTATCAAAATGCCAACATTTTTTCATAAAAGTTAACATTTTGATTCTTACATTTCTGTATAAACACAAAAGACTCAGAATAGTCTAAACAATTTTGATAATGAGCAAAATTAGTGTTCCAACCCTTCCCAATCCCACGACTTTTCACAAAGTTATACCAATCATGACAAAATAGCATTGATATCAAGATAGACAAACCACCAAGATACCAATATTAAGTCCCAAAATAGAGACAGACAATTGATTTTTGACAAAGATGCAAAAGAAATTAAGTGGCAAAAGGATTGTATCTTCAATAAATATACTGGAACAACTGGATTTCCATATGCAAAGAACCCAAACATTATAGCACATCAAAGTTCTTTAAGAAATTTTATTGTTTTGTAGTATTTTTATAGGAAAGATATCATTAGTTTCTATTCACTCACTTATAATGTACATTTGGGGTACATTCTTTTGCTATTATATGTGATCCCGCTATGAATACTCTTTTGTTGACATATGCACTTTTGTTTCCTGGATATATAGTACAATTTCTGAGACAGTTCAAGCTTCAAGACCATGCAGGAAATCTACCACAGAGTGCTGAGCCCAGAGCACTCTGCCTTGGAGGTCTAATGTTTTCCAGTTGCCATTCTGAAATCTTATCAAAAATGTGTCTTTGAATTTATGTAACTAAAGCTTGACAGGACAGTAAATATGTACAGTGGGTGTGGAATCTTAGCTCATGTGCTATCCTATATCCCATCCCCTCCTTCTGTCCCCTGGGAAGGGGTCCCTGCTACTCTTGCGCCTCTAGTCTTAGTGCTTCAGTGATTCACTGCCTCAAAAGCACTGCTGCTTCTGTGTTCTGCAGGTTTCTGGGCAAAGGATCCAGGAAGGCTAGAGCCAAACCCAGTAGTGCTAGGTGCATGACATCTCTGAACACACCATGGGGATGGAGGTCTTGGTGCAAAACTCAAATGACTGCAGTCAAGAACTTCTTACTTCTAATTCAGATACTTCATGGGACTTTGTGCAAAGAGTGAAATTTCCATAGAGGTTGCTATCTGCCATGGCTGAAATGCAGCTTATGGGAAAGATAGGTGTCTAACTCTGATGGACATAGAACCTTGATCCAGAGGGTGATAGGGTAAGTTTCCCAGCCCCTAGGGAATGTGCATATTTGCTGAGTAGTGACATCGAGCTTTTAAGCAATTTTTAGGGTCCCTACTTCTACTAATACAACCACGCTCAATGTTATATGATATCAAATACCAAGTAAAACCATCTTACTGATCAACAAAACCAAAACAAGACAAAACTCTATCATTTCAAAAGAGGAAAGATAGACCTCTGTTGTATCTAGAAAGACATGACCACATGCAAAGTTTCCTCCTATGTATTCTTATAGGAATTGTTTATATTTGTATTTTACAGTAGGGTGTATGTCCATTTTAAGTTTATTTTTGTGAAGAGGATAAAAGCGATGTCCAAATTTACTTTTTTGCATATACATGTCCAGCTGTTCCAGTACTATTTGTTGAAAAGGCCATCTTATCTCTGTTGTGAGTTTTGCCTAGAATAATTTACATGACATTATGGCAAGGTGGGGGGCGGAATCAGAGGATGGTTACCTGGAAGTGACTTCCTCCTTCCCCTATTACAACTTCCTTTTTCCTTTCCCAGTGCTCGCAAAAAGTGTTCCAATCAGCTCCTCCTATGTCATCAATGCCTGTCCTAAGCACCACCCCCAGTCAGAGGTTGTATGTATATCCCATAACCCACGTTCCAGTCAGAGGAAGCCAGACCACTTATGGTTATGGATTCCTCTCCACGTCCTTGGAATAAAGATAATTTTTTTACTTTTAATACTTTAGTCTTTTATTGTGCTGAAAACTCATGATGGCGCCGTGACTCAGATGACAGAATGCATTAGCTCCTGGGAGCCCCTCCCAGTTTGAGCTATCCTGCCAATGAGCCACCTAATTTTTCTTCCAGGACTGTTTACTTGCTGCCGCTAATCTACATGGAACAGTGACCTTCCTCGCTCATCACAGACGAGCTGCTGATCAACCGGGGTTTTCTGTTTTCGTTCCTAACATTCACAAGCTTGCATCTGAAAACTATCTGTTGTTGCTGTGCCTGGACAGCAATAGCAGTTTTCACACTCCTTAGGCCATACAGCCTGAGGCAAAACTGTTATTTTTGTTTCCTGGGACCCTGCCCCACACTCTGTGACAGCTGAGGAGAACGGGTTTTGGGACTTTCCATGTCACATTCTCAGAACCCCCTTGGGGTGAGTAGACATTGGACAGGACTTCAATTGATGAAAAAGAAAGTGGCCACCTGGTAACTTTAACCAGCTCTTGATCATTAATTGGAGACCTCAATAATCTGCACAGTCTTATGGGAGACACCCCAACTAAAGTTCACATGGCTGGGACAATTCATTGTTGCTGATCTTGTGGTGTGTTCGTACCTTCAAATGTAGACTTGAGATTGTTTATGATGACGACTGTTTTCTTTCAGATCCAAACAGCTCCTTTTTCTTGTGCTTCAGCCAGGAGATTTAAGTCAGACCAACACAAGGTCACCAGTCAAATAAAATTTTTAAACAAAAATTTATGTAATGTATACTTTATACTTAGAGATGCTTAAGTAGTGTTCAGTCCAAACAATGTCACAAATTTCTTCAGTGCTCAAATGTTAAAACACCCATGGTTAATAGACAACAGTAGTTCCATTTAATGTTCTATGTTAAGCTTACTGCCTCTATTGCACTGTACTGTTATCAATCTTCTGGATGTTCAACAAGTAAAATTAAGAGATAATTATAAATTCCTTTTAAATTCCCTTTACTGGGGTTCACCAAACCTTTTCCAGAAAAAGGCTATTTGACACATATTGGGGCCCTAATTAACTATACTCAACTGGCCTTAAATGATACCACAGCTGATGTCTCTCCTAAATAAAAAGGTAAAATTGATAAAATAGGCCATCCTCCAAAAATCGGATGGCATTAGACATTCTAACTGCACAGGAGGTACTTACAAAATTATAAAACCTAAATGTGTATATGACAAATGAATGACATGTCAGTTTCTAAAATTCTATGAACCTTATCCTATCCTCTTACAGGAAGCCATTACTAAAATTATACTCATAAATACTCTGTTGATTCTATTATTTGACTCCTGCATACTTAATTGATTCTTTGCCTTTGTTTCCTTTAGACTTAAATCTGTACACCTACTCAAGATGAAAATGCCTGCTGTCTTACAAGAGCCACTAGTTAAAAGCTCTACAGAGTATCCCTGACTGCCATTCAACAACTTCAACCCCCTGCAGCCTGAAGAAGTCAGATCAGTCCCCGCCCATTATCCCTCATGGCTGTTTGGGTTACTTCTTCAGAGAAAAACTGCTACAAACAGCTAAGTCAGTTAAAAATATTATAGGCAGTCAGACAGGTCTAAGGCTTCAAAATAGCCAGCACAAAGAACCAGATGTCTTGTGACTGTGGAGGAGCTAGACACCCTCCACTGTGGGCCAGGTCCCAAGACAAAAGGCTAAACTTGGCCCTCACACCCCACAGGGAGACCTTCTTAATATGACTTTTCATGATTTCAACAACAGAGATAAAAATAAAAAGGAAAAATAACAATCTGATCTTTTAGTAGTGACACTTGGAGCTCTGAGACAGGTGAGCAGAGACAAGGTGGAGCTGCCTGAGCCCCTCCCAGACCATGCTTCAAATGCAACAAAGAAGGACATCAGGTAAAAAAGTGCCCTAACCCTGGCATTCCTCTAGGGCCTTGCCCCTATTACAATCTCAAGGACCATTGGAAGAAAGACTGTCCTAGCCATGAGAGCAGGTAAAGCTATCTTCTAACTCCTTGCCCTCACAGGAGATCTCATCACCACCAGATTCATCTCTGACTGATCTACTCAGACTTGCTGCTGAAGACTGATGGGGCCCACAGCCCCCATATTAAGGGTCTTCTCAGAGACCCAAGCCCCACTAGAGATCTCAGGTAAGAAAGTCTCTATACTTGTGGACATAGAAGTCATACAGTGTTTTTCCTGAATTTTCAGGAAGTGGGTGTTGATGGCCAACCTACACAATCCCTGCAGACAGGGCCTATTCCATGCAGGTTCTAGACTTTTCTTTACCCATAGTTTCCTAGTAATTCCAACATGTCTCATACCCCTTTTAGTAGAGATCTTCTTCAAAAGCTTAACTTCTCCTTTACCCTCTCCTTCTCCACAGGTCTCTATCCTCCAGACACTCTCACAGTGTGCTGCAAAGCCATCCCATCCCCTCCCTTCTTCTCTGCTCAATCCCATAATTCCAATCCTATCCACACTACCCATGACATGCCTATTTTAATTTATCTCAAAGATCCTTCAATTTTTCCTTGTATTCCCCAATAACCTATAGCTCCCAAACATCTATGGGGACTTAAACCTATAATCAAGCATCTTTTAGACAATGGTTTTCTAAAACCTGCCAATTTAGCATATAATACTCCCATTCTCATGGTACTCAAGCCTAATGATTCCTATAATATGGTACAAGACCTTAGGGTAATCAATGATGCTGTTATCCCAATTCACCCAATGGTGCCAAACCCTTATACCATGCTCTCTCATATCACCCCTCCACCACTCACTTTATAGTCATAGATCTTTAAAAATGCCCCCCCCCCCTTTTTACCATCCTCCCCTACACCCTAATTGTCAGGATTCCTTTGTGTGTATGCAGACTGACCCAGACACTCTGAGGTCTCAACAACTTACATCTGTTATCTCTATAGTAAAACCTCTCCTCAGGGACAAATACCACCACCTTTCCTATTCATTAATTTTGTGGACATAACCCTGGTCAGGACTGGCAGTTAGATTTTACACACGTGCTCTTTCACAAAACTCGTAAATATCTTCTCATCTTTGTTTGTACTTTTTCAAGATGGATAAAAGTCTTTCCTACAACCAGAGAGCCTGCTGATGTAGTTACCAAAGTCCTGTTACAGGAAATCATCCCAAGGTTTAGTCTATCTCAGAGTATTCAGTAAGATAATGGTCCAGCCTTTATTTCTCAAATCACTCAACAGATATCCTTCAGCTTACACATCACCTGGTGCCTACCCATCCCATACCATCCACAATCTTCAGGAAAAGTAGAAAAAGCAAATGGCATCACAAAAACACAACTTACAAAACTCATTTTAGAACTACACCAACCTTGGCCTCAACTTTTGCTCCTAGCTTTAGCCAAGCTCAGGGCACTTCCCTGGGCTTCAACATTTTTAAGCCCTTCTAAACTGATGTATGGCCAACCGTTTACTCCACAATCTTCCTACCCCCCAAAATCTCTCTCCTCTTGCTGACTACATCCCAATCCTCTCTTTTCTCTGACATTTGTTATGACAACATGCTGATCTCTGCCTCCCCCAGCCCTCTGATGGGACCAAACCAGATCCTCTCATATCCCCAGGAGATCTAATTTACCTCAAATTTTCTAAGTCCACAGGACTACAATCAAGGTTGAGTGGCCCCTACCTGGTCTTCTAGGCAACCCCAACAGTGTTCAAAGTTGCTGAACTGCCATCCTGTTTGTATATCACTCAAGGTAAGTGGTGCCCTTCCAACCCTGAATCTAACTATCCTGAGTGGTCACCTCATCTTCTGTCTCCCACCTGTGTCTGTCTCACCAAGGCCTCACAGCCACAACTCTTAAGCTAAGTTATGTTTTGTTATCCAATTTGGTTCCTAATCCCTTACATTATATTAATTATTGTTTTTGCAGTAGGACTCTTGATAGTCTTTCCTAAATACTCCCACATCGTGCATGAGTTTGTCTTCATGTTGTTCTATGTAGCAACTGTCTTAGTTCTCTCTATTCTCAGCTGTTTAGTTAAATGTGAGATCCCTGTGGGTTTAGGCTCTTATCTCCCTTATAGTGACACAGCCATGGCCTTCAACACCTCTTCTCTGTAATTTCCCAAATACGATTCAATCATCAGGCCTTATTTTTCTCATGCTTCTTTTTCTTTTCAGCTCAACTCTTAGACCAAAGACAAGCCTTACCTACCTATGCTTTTAACTTTTACCCTTTTAGATAGGGGAATAATTACCTCTCATAACTTCACTCCTCCTAACCCTACACTTATTTTTCAGATTCTACCTCACTATGGCCCTGAAGGAATGGCATATTTAAATCAAAGACACCTTTCCTTCTACCTCTCTTGGGTCCTTAAATGTGACAGTGGCCTGCCTCCTCGCAGTACCTTGTCTCTTTGATTTTCCAATATAGGATGCGAGCATTCACCAATGATGAAGTTGTCCTGGCTGAAACATCTGGTACCAGCTTTTACATGGGCATCAATCATCAACCCATCAACCTCCTAAACCCCAATACGGTGCCCCCTTTCAGCAGGAATTAGTAAGAGAGAGACTTTGCCCTTTTCCTAACAATAAAAAGATGGGAATGAAGGAGTTTTATGCTAGAATAAGTTACACGACATTATGGTTGGGGGGGGCAGAATCAGAGGATGTTTACCTTGAGGTCCTTTCCTCTTTCCCCTGTTACAACTTCCTTTTTCTTTTCTCAGCGCAGGCAAAAACAGTTCAAATCAGCTGCTCACACATCATCAATGCCCACCCTAAGTATCACCCCTGTTCAGAGGTTATATGTATATCTCATAACCCATGATCCAGTCAGAGGAAGCCAGACTGCTTATGGTTATGGATTCTTCTCCACATCCTTGTTATAAAGACCACTTTTTACTTTTACTACTTTGCTCTTTTATTGCACTGAAAACTGTTTCATGTTGTATTGTCATTGCTCTATTGCTAAAGGTTAGTTGGCTATATTTATGTGAATCTACTTCTAGGTGCTCTAAAGTGGTTTACTAATAGTTTATTTGCTTATTCTTCCACCAAAAACATATACTTGATTATTGTAGTTTTATAGTCAGACTTTGTTCTTCTTCAATATTTTTTAAATATTTAAGGAGATCTTTTGCATAAATTTTAAAACTTGAAAATCAGCTTATCAACATCAAAAAATAACTTATATAGGAGGCTGGGGATTTAGCTCAGTGGCAAAAATGCCTACTTGGTAAGCGCAAGGTCGTGAGTTTGATCCCTGGTTCCACAAAACAAACAAACAAACAAACAACAACAAAAAAACTTACTAGGATTTTGATTGGAATTGCACTGACTGTACAGTTTAAATTGAAAAGTACTGACATTTTGACAGTACTGAGTCTTCTCATCCAGTACTATGGAGTATCATCCAATTATTAGGTTTTTTTACTCCTTTTATCAAACTTTTGAATTTTCCTTATATGAATCTTGTGTATTTTCTGTTAGATTTATACCTACATATTTTATTTTGAGGCATACTAATATAAATGGTATCATGTTTTAATATAGAACAACGATTGGCATTTGTGTATTAAACTTCTGTCCTGAAATTCTGCTTCTTTGTTTCAGGAACTGTGGGGATATAGATGTTTGTGTTTATGTATATTTGTGTGAATTCACTCAGATTTTTTTCCATAAACCATTGTGGCATTATTATAGGTGCTAAATTAGATAAATATACAGTCAGAGAAGGACTGGGCTCTCAAGGAAATTAGTGGAAAAAAAAGGTATCAGAATCGAGGCACATCTGAAGAAGATCAGACCTCAAGATAAAGATGCACCCCTTGACGGGACCCAGGAAATAGAAGGCAGCCTCCGTGGGAAGAATGCACTGAGAGGGATGAGGGAGGGAAGAGGGCAGTGGCTGCATGACTTGGAGTGCTCCCAGGCAGGTCAGTTGGGGAAGCTGTGCTGGACCTGACAGCTATTCTGCCCCTGAAGGAGCCAATAGCAACACTTGCGAAGCTTGAGGGCAAAGTGGCAGCAGTGGAGGGGGAGAGGCGTCTATCAGGACAGCATCTTCAGCCTTCAAATTGTCACCATGATCAGAAGTGTGTCAAACTACATAGGGCCTCTCAGTTGAAATTTCTATTGAAGAATTAGAGGATTCCCTACATGAAACACACCATATTTAGTTGTTATATCTTCTTCTCATGGTTGTGAAAATTTCTCAGACTTCCCTTGTTTTTGATCTTGAGAGTTTTGAGGAGTACTCATCAGAAATGACTGTGGTTTTGAAAGATCATTACTTTTGGTTTGGGGTTTTTAAATATTTTTTCTATTTAAGAGAAAAAAAAGGCACAAGAAAAGAAACTCAAAAAGCAAACGAGACAAACAACAAACCCAAAGCAATGACAGTACGGATTTTCTATTTGCCAGTATTTTATTGAGGATTTTTGCATAGGTGCTCATTAGGGAGATTGGCCTATAATTTGCTCTGTTGGTTGGGGTTTTTCTCTGGTTTTGGTGTTAGGGCAATACTTGCTTCCAGGAATCAGTTAAGTAGATTTACTTAATTTTCAATTTCATTGAACAGTTTGAGGAGTGCTGGCATTAAGTCTTCCCTAAATTTTGTGGAATTCAGTAGTGAACCCATCAGGACCTGGGCTTTTCTTTGTTGGTAGGGTTCTGTTTGCATTTTCAATTTCATTAACTGAAATTGGATTATTCAGCAGATTTACATCTTCTTGATCCAGCTTTGGTAATTCATATGTTTCTAGGAATCTGTCCATTTCTTCTGTGTTATCAAACTGAAGAGAATAAAGATTTTTGAAGTAGGTATTGAAGATCTTCTACATTTCCACAGGGTCTGTAGTGATTTCACCCTTTTCATTTCCTATTCTGTGAATTTGAACTTTTTGTTTCCTTTTTTTTATAAGGTTAGTTAGGGGTTTATCAATTTTATTTAATCTTTCAAAGAACCAACTCTTCAATTCATTACTACTTTGTGTTGTTTTCTTAGTTTTAATTGCATTAATTTCTGCTCTGATCTTTATAATTTCCTCCCTTCTTTGGACTTTGGGCTTGACTTGCTCTTGTTTCTTTAGAAGTCTGAGGTATATCATTTGGTTGTTTATTCATGTTCATTCCATTTTCCTGATGTGGGAGTTACTGCTATAAATTTCCCTCTGAGGAATGTTTTCACTGTGTGCCACAGGTTTCCTTAAACTGTATTTGCATTTTTTGTTTAGTTTCTCCTTTAATTTCTTCTGTGACTTATTGATTGTTTAAGAGACTGTTATTTAATTTCCATGTCTTTATGGGATTCCTGTGGGTTTTTGTCATTAATTGCCAATTTTATTGTGCTATGGTCAAATAATATGCATGGGATTATTTCTATTCCTTTTTATTTACTTATACAGGTTTTATAGGCTAGTATATGGTCTTTTTTTTTGCCTTTTTGAGACAGTGTCTCACTATGCAGTTCAGGCAGGGCTTGAGGTCTCTTTGTAGCCCAAACTGGTCTTGGACTCACAATGATTCTCCTGCCTCAGCCTCCCAAGTGCTGGGATTACAGGCACATGCCATCATGCTCAGCTAGATGGTCTATTTTAGAGAATGACTCATGTGCAGAGAAGGATGTGTATTCTGATGTTGGGTGAAACACTCCATACACATCTACTAGGTCCATTTGTTTACAAGTTTGATTTAGTTCTGTTATTTATTGGCTGATTTTTTTGTTTGGTTGATCTGTCTCTGTGACAATGGGGTGTTAGGGTCTCCTGTTACAACTGTATTATTGTTTATTTGATTTTTCATGTCTTTTAAGATTTGTCTTACATAGTTGGGTGCTCCCATATTTGTTGCATATATATTTATGATTGTGATCTCTTCCTCTTCAAGTTTTCCCCTAATAAGTATGTAGTGATCATTCTTGGTTTGAAGTTCGCGTTGTCTGAAAGCAGAATAGCTACCCCTGCTTTTTTCTGGGTTCCTATTTTATGGAGTATTGTTTTCCATTCTTTGACTTTTAGTTTATGAATTTCCTTTTGAGTTGAATGTGTTTCTTGTACACAGCATATTGTTGGATTTTGTTTCTTAATCCACTCTGCCAGTCTGTTTCTTTTTATTGGTAAGTTGAGGCCATTTACATGATGGGTATAACTGATATGTACTGACTTCTCCCATATGTTATCTTTCTGTTGTTTTATACTTTTTCTGTTTGTTTTTCCTGTTTAGTGGTTTCCTTCTGCTGTTGTTCTTGGAATTGTAGCTATCTTCTCTTTCTGGAGTACCTTTCAGTACTCTTTGTGTGTTGGTTTGGTGGTCATGAATTTCTTCAGTTGTTCTTTGTCATGAAGGTATCTTTTTCTCCACCAATTTTCAAAGGTAGTTTTGCAAGATATATTAATCTGGGTTGGAAGATGTTTTCTTTCAGGAGCTGAAATACTTTATTCTAACCTCTTCTTGACTTGGAGGTTTGTGATGAGAAGTCTACCATGATTGTGATGGACTTTCTGTCATAAGTGATCTGTTTATTTTCTCTGACAGGTGTTAGTATTCTATTCTTGTGCTGAATTTTTGAGATCCAAATTATTATATGTCTGGGTGAAAATTTATTTTAATTATGGCTAATTGGCATCCTATATACCTCATTTATCTGGCTATCAGATTCTTTTCCTCTGTTTGGAAAATTTTATGCTATTATTTCTATAAATAGTATTCTTATGTCATCTGTGTTGACCCTTGTTTTTT